GGAAAGATGTTTCTTTCTCCCATTCCATATAAAGCATGGCCTTTACAAATTCATCCTTTTGAGGAATTTGGTTCTAAACTCTATTTCAGAAAGCCAAGTTTCATATTTTGAAGAAAGTTAAGTGACCTGGAAAAAATAGATGATCTCAGAGCTGAGTAGTCTAGAAACATCAGCAATCTGAAGACAAAAAATACCAAGTAATGAATTTTCTTTCTTCTTACTCACAGGCCTTCTTTCAAGGCAAACTGAAAATCGCTGGCAACATGGGTCTAGCTATGAAGTTACAAAATCTTCAGCTTCAGCCAGGCAAAGCCAAGCTCTGAAGAAATCCCTTTGGCTACCTTTGAAAACCAAGATGAGACATATAGATATATATCCTTACGTTTCATTATCAGAACTTAGGCTGAAACCGCACACTGGCAAATAGCATGAGATAAATTTGTTTCTAAATGAGCGTGACCAATCCCGTTTTTCCTAAGCTCTTGGTGAACAGAGCCTGATGGTATACTACTGCTTTGCTGAATTGCATATAACTGCATTACAAAGTTAATATGGTAATTATGGTTTGGGGTAAAATTGAGTTTCAGAATAAAATTAGGAACAGTAAAATCCGAAAACTATGTAAACAAAGGCTCTCATTTTGCTTATAAAGTATATTTAAGGATTATTCTGCTGAGGATTCAATTTTGGAGTTTCCCTTGGGAGAACTAAAAAAGAAATAGAATACTAGTGGCTGGCCAGTAGTATTGCACCTAACCACCTTGATCGATTTCTCATTACTATTTCTTAAACTCTGTACTGGGGTGTTTTTTATAAAAGAAACCAAAACTTTTATATTTCATGCCTCAGAAATGGTATTTCCTTCTTGAATCCAAAAAAAAGAAATAACGATCAGAGCTTGGGGAAAAAAATCTGTAGCTAAACGCAGACCTGTTTTTAAAATAAAAATGTTTTTAAAAATGGGTGTTCTTGAAAAACTAAGTAAAGTTTGCTTTGAGCTGCTTAGTTTTCAGATTATAATCATATTAACTAATTTATAAAGCGCTCGGTCCTTTGTTAGGATTTTCCCTTTTCATGTAAATTTAATTAATTATCCACATTTATCTTCTTAGTTTTTCTAATGCTAATGTTATTATAACTCAGTGAGATGTGGGGTTAATGATGCTTTTGGAAGAATGTTTAATAGAAAATTAAAACAGCCATTACTGGTCTTCGTTTTTAGTGTGTATGTTTTCTTTTTTATTTTTTTGTGCTCCAGATTTTCTAGGTGATGGAGGGTGAAGAGAAACTTGTAGGATTTACACACTGAAGAGCATCTGGGTGTTACCTCTTGATTACTTTGGCATAGTCACTAGTTCTCCCTTGGGGCGGCAGTGTGAGGCAGTGGGAAGAGCATGTGACTAGGCACCAGGGACTCGCTTCTCTTGGCCTGGCAAAGAGCCACCAGCCTGGGCTGTTTGCTAACTGTGAAAAGGGGCGGTTTAAATGGGTAGTCTCTAAGGTCTGTTGTAGTGAGTCTATGTATCTTCTCAGTGCCAAGCAGAACCATTTAGGACTTTCCCACCTTTCTATTAGCATTTTTCTTCTCTTTTTAAAAAGAATTATTTTCTGTTTTATTTATCATCCTTATTATTTTCCAGTTTGACCAGTGAAAGAGATAGGGAAAGTGAGAAAGCAAGCCGCCAAGACTGGGAGTCAAACCATGGTCAGCCATGTGGGAGTCCAGCACCTTAATCACCGGTGACACCAGCTGCCGGCCTCCAACACTTTCCTTTACCCAGAGGTGGTCAAGGGAGCAAGCCAGGCTTTTATTTGTTTTATTAGTCATTTGTTTAGATGTTTGGAGCCCTTGCTTGTACTGTCAGGACTGTGGATCAGATCCCCTTAGACTAGCTTTGCATCTTCTGGGACCTGCAGAGCAGCAGTTCATAATAGGTCCAGAGGGCAAATTCAGCCAATGTACCTTGATCCTCAAGTCCTGTGAAATGAATGTAGCACAGACCTTCTTCCTCATCAGAGTAGCTTCTTACTCTGGGGAGAAAGAGAAAAAGAAAGAGAGAAACTTCTAGAAAAGTATTCCAACAAAATGCCTGGTTTACCTGTAGTTTGGATTTGCTGCATGATTCTGCCTCCACTGGTCCTAGATAAAACGAGATTTAGGAGGAGCCAAAAAACAAAAACTGTTCTTAGAGTAGAAATGAGTAGTACCTCTCTGACTTTTCTATTATACACATAAATTACATTCAGCATATGGATAGAAAAATAAGTACGCAGTGATAAAATACAGTAGCAGTTTAATTTTTTCCCTGGTAGTACAGTTTGGAGGGAAGATGAACAGGTCTGGGTTAAGCCTACTGTTCTCCGTTGTGCTGCTGGAGCAGGTTGAGACTCGGCTGTTTGTCTGATTTATAAAGTGAAGCTATTAATATTGACCTCCTAGGATTATGAGGATCTAGAGAGAGAATGTATGTGAAGACCTAAAACTGGGGACATGGGAGTCACTCAGTAAGCTCTGCCATTCAGCCATTCTCTGACTGCCGCCAACTGTACACCACCACTGGCTCCTGAGCTGTGTGATACGACTTTCGTGTGATGTCTCACTTTTGGAAGCATTTTTCACGGGCTCATTCATTTGACAAGTATTTATTGAGGAATTTGACCCTGTATGGAAGGTCCTGTATAGCAGGTCCACTGCTTGCACTGACGATGGTGAGCCCTTCCCCTCATGGTGCCTTGAGTTTAATGGGAGAGACAAAGAGATGGTTCATTGTTAGCGATTGTGAAGTACCGTGTGGATATGGTCAGGTGCTATAATGGAGAGTCACTATGAGGATCTTCTCTATAAAATGGTTAGGAAAAATATCTCAGAAAAATTTTAAGCTGGGATCTAAAGGTTGAAAAGGAACAAACCATGCAATAAACATTGCATAAAAGAGGGGGGATGTTTTGGTATATTCCAAAATTGCAAGGGGCCAGTGTGAGTGGAATACAGTGAACAAGAAGGACAGGTCTGTGATGAGATTAGATAGTTACACTGGAGCCGGTTAAATTTGGAATTTGTTCAGTGAGA